TCCATAGTGCTCATTGAAAACTCTTGTTTTGAAACATTGCATGTCTCAAGGATCCCATTTTTTGGTAAATACTTTATTTCAATGTTTCAAAAATAATATTTTACAGAATATCAAAATTAACAAAATAACAGGACTTCTTCCTTCTGCTATTTGCTACTGTTTCCATTTTTTTTGTTTCCATAAGAATTCGCTAGCACCACTAGAAAAAAAGTAATTTGTATCTGAGGCCCCTTCAACACTGCCATATAATCCTGATTATCAAATCAGAGAATCCACATTATTGGCTTTGAACTGGATATTTGTCCACACTGCCACACAATCCAGTTCAAAGCAGATGATCTGGATTTTATATGGCACTGTAGAGGGAGCCCTAAAGTATTTGGCTCATTGGGGAATGATCCCTAACCATGACTAGAAAGATGTGTAGCTTCCTCTCTGATTCGTTCTAGAAGAAGGATAACTTCAGGCTTATGTGGCCTTCAGAATGAAACAAAATTATAATCCCAATGTTCCACCAATGTGGCACAAAGGACATAATCAGTGTGACTTGACAGTGAAGATATAACTGGAGTCTGATTTCCATTGCTAAGTAGACAATCCCTGATGCTTCAAAAGGCACATGTGATGAGGTCCCAGGTTATGTGATCCTAGAGTATTTTTGAACTGCCTTGCTTGTGAAAGACCTGATCCAATCAAGGTCCTTTCCAAGAATATTGGCAAATTGAAGGCAATAGTTGAGCTAACAATGATTCCTGCTCACTGCAATATCACTCTGTTCCCTTATAATGCTCTCCAGTCAGTTAATCATTCCCCATTCAATGCATCTTCCTGTCACAATGAGGTTGCCATGGCTGCTATGCTGTCTAAGTAGCCAATTTAGGATTAGGAATCAAAGGCCAGGCAGTTGTGCTTAAATGGCAACTTGGGCTATGTACACATATTTTCAGAGGGCTTGTGTGGATTGCCATAGAAACACGGAAAGCTTCTTTACAACAAGAGACATGGGGTCCTTCCGCACAGCCCTCTATCCCACAATATCAAGGCAGAAAATCCCACAATATCTGATTTGAACTGGGTTATCTGAGTCCACACTCAATCCTACACTAATGTCGCATTTCCTGCCACGATATTCTGGGAAATAGGGCTGTGTGGAGGGGCCTATGACTATTTGAAAAGATGTTGTAAAGGAACAGGGAGCAGGCTTGTTTTCTGCTGCCCTGGAGACTAGGGTTCAGAGCAATGGGTTCAAACTATAGGAAAGGAGATTCTGCCTGAACATTTGGAAGAACTTCCTGACTGTAAGATCTGTTCAGCAGTATAACTCTCTGCCTCGGAGTGCAGTGGAAGCTCCTTCTTTAGAGGCTTTTAGCAGAGGCTGGATAGCAATCTGTAAGGGGTGCTTTGATTGTGCATTCCCTGCATGAAGGTAGAATGAAGGGGGTTGGACTAGATGGCACATGTAGTCTCTTACAGCTCTATTATTCTAAGGGCCATTCCACACAGCCATATAAACCAGAATATCAAGGCGGTTAATCCACAATATCTGCTTTGAGCTGGGTTATGTGAGTCTACAATGCTATATAATCCAGTTCAATGGAGATCTTTACAGCTGTGTGGAAGGGGCCTAGGTCAAACCAATGATCCAGTAGTTGTGTACTCTAGTTTTTCTAATCAGATATTCTCCCAACATGGAATATTGCAGTCCAATACATTTAGAGGTCATCAGATTAGGAAAGACTGACCTGGTGTGATTCATACTACACACAAGGGCATTGGCCATGGTTTGAGCTGCATGTGCTTTGTCCCACCTTTTAGGCTTTCATTTCAGACATCTGGCTTACCCGTAGGAAACAAAATGCTCTGTTGTGTAGGCCTTTGATCTGATCCAGCAGAGTTCATCTTACATTTCTGACTTTTCTTCATCTACTATGTCTACTTCTTATAGGAGAAACCAGGCATTGAACTGGATACTCTCTGAGCACAAAAATATGTGCCCTTAGATCCTCAGTCATTCTCATTCATATTACACAAATATAAATATTATATTGTCGAAGAAAATCTAACAAAAGGTAAGCAGACAAGGATACATATTCATTCAATCGCACTGCTGTTGTGTTGAGTTGTGGTTTTAAATTGTCTGTATCACATTTATTCTCACAGCAGCCTTTAGAGGAGGTAGATCAGTCTTGTTTTGATTGCAGAAATGGAAAGTATGGGCAAAACAGGGTTTTTGCAGGTGAGTTGAACCTGGAGGCAGGAGCAGTTACTTCATAGCCTCTGGATTTGGTCCTTCCTTCTGTCCAAACATAAGATGTTTAGAATGATCCATCAGAAACATACATAGAATGATCCTTTAGTTTTTGCATGTTTGGTTTCTAGGTAGCAATTTTTCAAGTGAAGGTTGGAGTGTGTAGATGAGGGTATTTGATTCTAAATGTCTTTAATCAGGACTGGAGTTCATATAGCTCTAAGTCATCTTCTTCGTGATTTGAAAAGTTCTTCTCTACTGGGCCTAAAACAGCCCAAAGACATTGTAGAATTGCCCTTCCATTGTCAAAAGCACATGGGGCATTTTGCTTTTCACACACACACACACACACACACACACACACACAAGTTTTAAAAATTCTGTGGGGATAAGAGTGCAGCAGTGAGGTGTAACTGTCTTTCTGTGCTGGGTGATGTAGCCCTGAAATCCTGATGGATCGATTGCAACAGATGGCATGAACTGTGCAGTTTCTTCATAAGTGCTTGTGGCAAATCCATTGGCAGCCTGGTGTCTGTTTGGTTTCCACAGGCTTCTGACAATCAGACATACCTGAGATTTTGTAAGTGGCCAGAGGCCAGAGCAATTTACCTCTCTTGGGTAAATGCTAGTCCTTCAAGAAATTCAGTCTGCAAGAAAAGAGATCAACATGTGAATGGTAAAATACACCACTGAAAGAATTGCACCTCTAATGGATCAACAAAGCTAAGTTTAATATGTAGATGAACAACATTATGTAAGTATCAAGCTTTTGGATTGTTTTATTTCCAATATAAATACAGTATTCCCTTGCTGCCTCGCAGTTCACTTTATGCAGACTTGCTATTTCGCATTTTTTTTAAAAAAATAATGCATTTAAAAATAAATATGAATTTATTGATGCTGGTGGGCCATTGATTGGCACTGGTGGAGGGAGGGAGATGAGGCGTTGCTGTCGGGGAAAGAGGAGGAGGAGAGGAGGCCGTCACTGAGAGCAAGGGAAGTACCACTACCTTCGACGAGCGAGCCCTTTGCTGCTGCCTTCTCCCATTCACGCCTCCTTCCTACTGCAGCGATTTCCCCCTCCCTCCCTTTGCCTCCTGGCCTGCATGCCTGCCTGCGCCACCGGCCAAGGTGCCCAACGAGGAGAACCAGCTGGTCCCCAAAGAGGGATGCAGGCGGGCCCAAGGCCCAAAGGTGCTGGAGGCGGAGGGGACAGGGTCAGGGACAGGCTTGGGAGGGCAAGGGCCGCCTTCGGCAGAGAAGGCCTTGGCCGGGCAGGAGATGTTTAACATCTTTACTAACGATCAGCCATAGCAACCACTCACAGAGCTTTATATATGCTGACAACCTTGGCCTAACATCACAAGTCAAAATCCAACTTGCTAATGCCTTGAAAGATCTCTCCAGCAACTTCAAAGATAACCACCTGAAGCCTAACCTTGCCAAGACACAAGTGTATGTTTTCCACCTACGGAACTGTGAAGCCAACGGGAAATTGAAGGTTACCTGGGAAGGTCAAGAGCTTGAACATTGTTTCCATCCTAAATACCTTGGTGTCATCTTAGATCAAACTCTGGCATTTAGGAAACACTGCATGAACACAAGCACAAAGTTGCTGCATGTAATAATATCCTGTGGAAACTTACTGGGAGTGCATGGAGTGCAGAACCAAAATTGGTAAGATCATCAGCCTGGCCTTAACTTACTCAACTGTCGTGTATGCCTGCCCTGTTTGGCACAAGTCTGCCCACACGAAATAAGTGAACATAGCATTGAACGTAATGTGCAAAATAATCACAGGATGTTTTAAACCTACACCTGTTGATAAAATAAAGGAAAAGCTTCATGAGAACCACCACTTCTCTTAATGCTCTCCCAGCAGCTAAACCTCTGGACAGCTAAACCAGGAAATCCCAAATGGATGGCCCCCCACAAGAATGGGCAACTTGGAGGTCCCTGAACAGACTCAGAAGTGAAATGGGCAGATCAAAAGATAACCTGGCAAAAAAGCACTATCAAAAAGAATCCTCCACCTTGTGCGACTGTGGAGCAGAACAGACAACTCCATATCTGTAAGCTTGTCCGCAATGTCCTGCCTCATGCACAGAGGAAGAATTGTTTGAGGCCAAAGACAATGTGGTTGCTGTTGCCCGTTTTTGGTCAAAAGATACTTAGCCTCTTGTGCTCCTTCCATTTTTATCAGTTTTATACTAATTAATAAGATCATCTGCATTGAACTGGATTATATGAGTATTCACTACCATATAGTCCAGTTCAAAGCAGATAATCTGGATGTAGAAGGCACCTCAGGAAGTACATTCCATGATTTGAAAACATTGGAAACAGCTGCCAGACAATATAGACAACATTGAATAAGATAGACTAGAAGGCATCCTTTGCTCCTAGTCTAAAAATAGTTCTTCAAAAAACAGTTGCAACAGTCCTCAGCAGATCTGAACAACAGAAAGAACAGGGTACACATAGGGATATGCGGTATGGGGATTCGCCCTAGCACAACAGATCAAGTTTACACTTCAGTATAAAAACCCAAGTCTCCAGTAGTACAGCCTTCTTCATATCTATTTTCAACTTATAGAGATTGCTGCATAATGTTCAATTAACTCATATAAATGGACAAGCATCCTGTTAATACCTGCAAACATGCACACAGAGTGATGTATATTGATAGTATTGTATTTTAGTACTCACGATACACATAGTCAATGTTTGTATAGTCCACCCATCTACATACCCTTCTTCCGAGCGGGAGGAGCCTGCCTCCCCTTTGCTATGTCACTTTGAGCCAAGACATCAACCATCCAAGACAGGGCACTGGTGCAGTACTCCATCTAATCAAAGTAAGTAGGATGAGAAGTGAGATGGGAGAAACATATCCTGTTGGGTCCTCAACAGAAATGTGGTTCCGTTTCTCTTCCTGTTCTTTATGAATCCACTTAACTGCCTGTCCTCATTTTCCAGACGCTATCATTTTGGCCTCTTTAGCATTACAATCCAGATTATCAAAGCAGATTATCTGCTTCGATCTGGATTATATGTCTACACTGTCGTATAATCCAGTTCAAAGTCAGATAATCTGGATTTTATATGGCAGTGTAGATGGAGCTTTTGTGTATCTTAGTCTTTGATTTCCTCCTTATAGTATCACAAATAGTTCATGGCCAGAAAGATCCAAGAACATTGTATTCCTACAAGGAATGCTAGAGGATCACCTAGGTTTCTCCTCTTATCTTGTGTAATCTAAATTCACTTTTCCTATGGCCTAATAGTCACAGGGATGTCTTCCTTTCCACTCACTCCTTTTTCTGCCAAGCATGTTACTAAACAATAGCATTCCAAGCTTATCTTACTATTTTTAGATAATAATCATCATCATCTTTATTTATATCCCGCCACCATCTTCCTGAAGGGAATCGGGGCGGCTTACAAGGCACTCCAAGGTGCACATATAACATACAACAGGTAAAAATGGTACAAAAGTATCAAACAAGTCAAATAAAATTATAACAACAGCCCCCATCAACACATGTAGCATAAAATAAAAATAATACAATTTTAAAACAACAGTAGATAAAACTAGCAGCTGTCAATTCGCAAAGTGCCAGGTGTCAGCTTCATATGGTCAAAGGCCTATCTGAACATCCACGTTTTCAGGTTGGAACGGAAGAACTGAAGGGTGGAGGCTAATCTAATCTCTTTCGGGAGGGTATTCCAAAGCTGGGGGGGCTTCTCTCTTGTCCCCACTAACCGTGCTTGAGACGGTGGTGGGACTGAGAGGAGGGCCTCCCATGTCGATCTCAGAGCCCGCATCAGTTCATGAAAGAAATGCAGTCTCGAAGATAGTTTGGACCCAAAGCGTAGGTATAGTTCCCATTGTTTCTTTTTCTCTAAAAGTCCTTTATTGTATCATGTCACTTCCGTACAAATCTCAGTCATGACCCTTCCTCATACCTGTGTCTCAAGGGTCCTCAAACGTCGCTCTGATTCCTTGATTTCAGAAAGTTGCTTCAAAACCTGATCAACTCTGCAAGGTGAAAGGAGTGAGGTGATTAGTACCAAAACGGTTCTTTCCACTCTGGCATGTGCTTAACTGGAAGTCACTTTCCTACCTTCTATAAGGATGCCCTAGATTGTACTTTATAAGCTCGCTGGCCTCAAAGATCACTCAATGCTGTTTCAAAATATGGTTAAATCCTTTTGGAGCATTATGAATGCATAAGCACTATAGTTACAGTGCTACACAGTGAATCCAGCCACCATCTCTGCAATCCTTATTTGCTGGACAGCAGTCACTACGATCAATGGAGGTCTGTTCTCTTGTTGATTGGGAACAAGCTAACTGATGTTCTCATCTCCTCCTGTGAGAGATCTCTGGCACAATGGGAAGAATAAGGACCCTATCATAATTCCCTCTTGTGCTGTGGGTTGGTCATATAAGGGGAAGTGGATCAGTCAACTGCTTTGTAGGGATCATGAATGCAAGTTATATAGGGATTGTGGACACAAAACAGTCACAAGTGCGTATAGTACAATTCCCATATCTGCAGGCAATAGATTCTTGGACTTACTGAGGACATAGGAAACTATGGATAACAGTAAACCTTATTGAAATGAACAACTTCTATTAGAAGTTACCATAGCATTGTTTTGGAAGACATAGGTAATTCTTTAAAAGGACATATTTTGTCAGATGCAGTTATCGGGGTCGTACTGCATTCATAATTGCTTATCAGGATTTGGCCTGTTCATTTTAGGATGAAATCCTTTAAGTTGTGGATATACTTAGAGATAAATGCATATTTTATGAGAATAAACAGTGGGCAGAAACAGATTGGTTTCACTTGATTTCACCCTGTTGACAAATTTGTGTATAAATGGAAAAGTTTGTGCATATCTCTTTGTTCAAAGTTCACAGACACATGCAGGAATAGGAAGGAATGCATGTATAAAACACTCAAAATTGACAGTGGGCAGAAACAGATTGGTTTCACTTGATTTCACCCTGTCCATCTCTTCAGTTCCCTTCTACCCTACTCCTGGCTTCTACACCCAGTCCTACTTTTGGGAGGTCTGTTGAAGACACCGACCAATTATCTTCCTAAGGTGGCTTTTCTTCATAGTAAAAAATATAGTTGCCCTGTTTACAATAACAAGGTTAACACAACACGAATAAACAAATACATAGTAGCTCTATATACACCCCAGGCTTTATACACTGGAGCTCCACACAGGAGACTTTACTCTCATATAGACGCCTCCTCACAAAGACTGACAAGTTCCCTCACTGAGGCAAAACTATCAATAACAGCAAGCCTTATTGAAATGAACAACTTCTATTCGAAGTTACTAGGCATGTGCAAAAAATCAGAAGTGTCGTAAGTCGGGTCAGTTTCGTATGCTTCATACCTACGATGCAATATCCGTCGCATGCAAGCATTCCGCACCAAAAATTAAGAAATCGAAAATTACCCTATACTTTTTCATTTCAGTTTTGTAAATCTTGGAAGGTTCCAAAAATCAGTTTTATATTCAATGCAAGCATATAAAAGCAGAGCCAAAAAGGTGCTTGCCTTGCCTTTCCTCTGTATATTAATAGCTTCTTGCCATTAAGAGTGAGGAACAGAAGGATAAGTGTTTTCTGGGAACAGCACAGAACTCTGGGAAATGTATTTTGGGAAGGGAGAAGCCCTATGCCAGAGAATTCCAAAGGTCCCACCCTAAACTACATTTCCCAGAATGCATCAGCATCAGAAAGCACCAATCAGGGTGGCAGAGAGAGAGATTTGTCCTTCTCTAACAAAAGCAAGTGAATGGTTGAATCTGCAAAGAGGAGGACTGACTGATACTTCTAAGAAGTAAATTTCTATGCTTGGCTTGGAAAGAAATCCCTTAATGGAGGGGCCCCATACTATAGGGGAAGCATATTAATTAGTTTAGAAACTGGATTGGTTTCACTTGATTTCACCCTGTCCATCTTTTCAGTTCCCTTCCACCCTACTCCTGGCTTCTATACCCCAATCATACTTTTGGGACGTTCGCCGAAGCCGCTCTGTGTCTTCGTCACGTTTCTGCCGCGCCTGAGTAACTAAGTAGTTTTCTTTCTGCACTGATTCCCAGGTGAGCAGCCGTCCATCTTGGGCCTCAGAAAGTTCCAGCACTGTGTCAGAAAAACACAAGACAAAAGAAAACAAGAAACTCCATGTGAGGAAGACATATATATTTCACTGCATTCATCAATGCCCCAAGTTGGCCATCTCCCAATACAATATCCTCCAGGCATCTTAGACCATCATTGTGCAAAGGTTCTTCACAGGTAATAGGTTGTGAATCATTGCTCCTTCTTAAAGCCAGTTCTTGTCGGCCACAAAGGACAATAGTTTCCACAACTGGCAGAAGTTTCTTTCTGTTTTATTCTGCCAAACTGCATGAACTCTAAGGTGTAGATGCACCTTATGTCTAGTCAAATACATTATTGTCCTAAGCTCTTTGTTGCTTTTTCTATAAGTGAATAACATGATTGCCTCCTTGGAAATATTCTGAACAATAACTTTCCCTTCCCTGCCGTACTCACAGAAGTGGCGTCCTTTGGCCGACTGCACCTTGCGGACATGGCGCTTGAAGAAAAGGTGGAGATGGCTGATCAGGATGAAAGGTGGAGCCAATGCTGGGCGGCTGTGATACTCCAGGATCAGGTTGTAGCGCTGGGATTTCCAGTAGATGTCACTGTTGCCTTGTACCTTGGAAAACGTATAGCTGTGAGGGAGTGAGACAATAAAAAGCCGACTAAAGATTTGCATAAAGCATAAGCAGGTGCAAGAGTCAGCGTGCTGTAATTTGAGAGTTGGACTATGTCTCTGGAGATAAGGATTTTGCATTATAGATTAAGTTACAATATTTTGGGTTGTTGGGAATTTTCCAGGCTCTATGGCCATGTTCCAGAAGCATTCTCTCCTGATGTTTCACCTGCATCTATGGCAGGCATTGTCAGAGGTTGTGAGGGCTGTTGGAAACTAGAAAAATGGGGTTATATATTTGTGGAATGTCCAGGGTGGGAGAAAGAATTCTTATTTGTTTGAGGTAGGTGTGAATGTTTCAATTGACCACCTTGATTAGTATTTAATGGCCTAGCAGTTTCAAGGTCTGGCTTTTTACTGCCTGGGGAATCCTTTGTTTGGAGGTGATTAGCTGGCCCTGATTGTTTCTTGTCTGGAATTCCCATTTTTTAGTGTTGTCCTGATTTTAGAGTTTTTTTTAATACTGGTAGCCAGATTTTGTCCATTTTCATGGTTTCTTCCTTTCTGTTGAAACTGTCCACATACTTGTGGATTTCAATGGCTTCTCTGTGTTGTTTGACGTGGTAGTTGTTAGAGTGGTCCAGCATTTCTTTGTCCAACAGACAATCTCAATTTCTGAGGATGTCTGTCATAGATGTGGGTAAAATGTCAGGAGAGAATGCTTCCGGAATATGGCCACATAGCCCGGAAAACTCACAAAAACCCAGTGATTCTGTCCATGAAAGCTTTCGATATTACAGTATTTTGTTTACAGACAGTGCAAGCCTCTTTGGGTCCCATATGGGAGAAAAATGGGGTATAAATTAATTAAATAAATGAGACGATGGTGAACTGTTGCAGGTCACAGCATGAAGTTCTCGGATAGCTGAACCAATGGTCTGACTCGACATCAGGCACTTTCCTGTGTTTATAATTCAATGCAGACATGTCATACATAAAGACCTTATGCAATGCACTGTGGTTCAGCACATCCACTTGCTATTAAACCTTATACAGTCAATCCAAAAACTCTCATTCAACAACAACAGTGATACCTGAACATGGCGATGAGCAAATTGAGAAGCAGTATGTTGGCTACGAGAAGGAAGACCACAAGGAGAATCAGCACCAGCCAGTTGGCATAAGTGTTGGTGCAGGGCTGTGCGTTCTCCATCAAGATGGCCACGGGGTCATAGGTGCAGTTGGATGCCGCAATCAGAGCAGCTGGGAGGCAAAAGACAAAAACAAAGTGGAAGTTCACACTATTCATGAGAGATAAATCCCTATCATGTTGGCTCAAACAATAATCATCTTCCATCTCCCCAACTAAAAGGATGCTTAAATACTAAAAAAAATATCATTCAGTTTCTTGACCTTTTTGATTGCCCTTTTCTTTATCTTTCTCATTGCTACCAGTGGCACAATGGATTAAACTCTTGTGTCAGCAGGACTGCTGACCGAAAGGTCAGCAGTTCAAATCGGGGGAGTGGAGTGTGCTCCCATCTGTCAGCTCCAGCTTCCCATACAGGGACATGAGAGAAGCCTCTCACAGGATGGTAAAACATCTGGGCGTCCTTGCAGATGGCCAGTTTTCTTACATCAGAAGTGATTTGCAGTTTTTCAAGTTGCTCCTGACATGGAAAAAAAATACCATTCCCAGCTCTATACTTAAGCATGAGCCTCATCACCCTGGCTGGTAGAAGAGATAGAGGTTTGAAGAACTAAATAGAAGAAAAGCCCCATTTTCCATCCTCCCTTCAACCCAAATAGAACAGAGGTATGTTTTCTGCAGCCAGGAAATCAGGAGACGCTTGATAAAATAGTGAAGAGTAGAGAATCACACTGGCAATGAAGATCCGCATAGTTAAAGCAATGGTATTCCCCATAGTCACCTACGGATGTGAGAGCTGGACCATAAGGAAGACTGAGCAAAGGAAGATAGATGCTTTTGAACTGTGGTATTGGAGGAAAGTGCTGAGAGTGCCTTGGACAGCAAGAAGATCCAACCAGTCCATACTTCAAGAAATAAAGCCTGACTGCTCATTGGAGGGAAGGATAGTAGAGGCCAAGATGAAGTACTTTGGCCATATCATGAGAAGAAAGGAAAGCTTAGAGAAGACAATGATGCTGGGGAAAATGGAAGGGAAAAGGAAGAGGGGCCGACCAAGGGCAAGATGGATGGATGGTATCCTTGAAGTGACTGGACTGACCTTGAAGGAGCTGGGGGTGGTGTCGACTGACAGGGAGCTCTGGCGTGGGCTGGTCAATGAAGTCACGAAGAGTTGGAAACGACTGAACGAATTAACAACAAACATGTTCCCTGAATGTTCCTCTATTTTCTCAGGCCGCTAGAGCTGGAGAAGAGATAGAAGTGTCTGTCCCCCTCTTCTGAATAGAAATAATATAAGCTTCTAGAGAAGAGAATCTCTCTCCTCAATTTCAAGTAGAGAAATACAACTGTGTTATCACTCCACTGCCAGCTCCCAGAAGACTGGTAAGAATTATTGCCAAAATATGAACTTAAATAGCCTTATTTTATACAGCTATTTTCAAGACATGGCAGCCCAAAGTCTTTGCAAATTGAGAATGGAATCTGCTGCCGTCACGATCAAATACCCACCATCAATTTCATCAAGCGGGATCTGTCCAAAGATTTGCAAATAAGGTCGGTAAAAGACACGCCGGAATATCCAGGGGAGACGTCGATCATGAGGTAGGAGCAGCCCTTCTGTGGTGACCCCATAGGCCACCAGCCAGACCCCAAGGAAGAAGAGGAAGAGGAAGACATCTTTCATCTGCAGAAATATTAACATAGAGAAAATATTTTTTAAAAAAAATTAGAATAATTTACTCTTGTGCTTCCACACCTTACTTGCTATCACACAAAGAAGATTGTTTGTGTATACATATTCAAGTACTTTGAATTACATTTAACTACTCATATAAATTATACAACTCATACATGTTTCCATTCATATACATTGGTAAGCCAGACACCCAGAGAATTGTTGCTTATCATGAATGAACTGGCTGCTAGCACACTTAGGCCATTCATTTCTGTTTTGCTTCAGCTGCTGCCATAACCTCTAACCCAGTGGTTCTCAACCTTGCTAATGCCGTGACCCCTTAATACAGTTCCTCAGGTTGTGGTGACCCCCAACCAGAAAATTATTTTCATTGCTACTTTATAACTGTAATTTTGTTACTGTTATGAATCGCAATGTAATTACCTGATATGCAGGATGTAATTTCATTCACTAGATCAGATTTGGCACAAATACCCGATACGCCCAAATTTGAATACTGGTAGGGTTGGGAGAGGGGGATTGATTTTGTCATTTGGGAGTTGTAGTTTCTGGGATTTATAGTTCACCTACAATCAAAGAGCATTCTAAACTCCACCAATGATGGAATTGAACCAAACTTGGCACACAGAACTCCCACGACCAACAGAAAATACTGGAAGGATTTGGTGGGCATTGACCTTGAGTTTGGGAGTTGTAGTTCACCTACATCCAGAGAGCACAGTAGACTCAAACAATGATGGATCTAAACCAAACTTGGCACAAATACTCAATATGCTCAAATGTGAACACTATTGGAGTTTGGGGAAAATAGACCATGACATTTGGGAGTTGTAATTGTTGGGACTATTCTGAAGCCCACCAATGATAGAATTGGGCCAGACTTCCCACACAGAATCCCCATGACCAACAGAAAATACTGTGTTTTCTGATGGTCTTTGGCGACCCCTCTGACACCCCCTTGCAACCTCCTCCAGGGATCCAGGTGCCAGGTTGAGAAACGCTGCTCTAACCAATCCCAGTGATGATTTGTTTAATATGTCATTTGAATCAGGGATTGCTTCCTTCACAGATCAGAATTGGAAACCCAGTGCAGTAATTTATATTATCACTTCCATGCATCTCCTCCTGTACAAGGCCATATCACAACATTGTAGCTAAAATATCAGAAAATCATTGAATATAAAAACTGTGCCACTAACAAAAACAGTGCACGCTTGCAATGCATGCAGATGAAACCATGTGATTCAAAGCCTCGTTGTAAATGGGTAATAATGACATCTGCATTGGAAGCTTCAAAAATCAGCACAGTATCTAGCCTTTTAGGTATATTGATAACGTATATGTAAGTGGGCTTATGAAAAATGTTTTTTTGGGTTATGTCTAATTGTAGGGATATTTTTTACTAAAAACTAATAAATTTCAGCTGAAGCAGTGCACAAAAATGCATAGAGAGACATTTGATGTCACCACTTCTGATGATATTACCCAGTATGCTCTGAATCTCCTATCTAATTGGAGGTCAGCTGTGACCAACAGTGCTGCAGACTTCGAAGAGGCACAAATGGAGGGTGAAAGGGAGAAAAGTGCCAAGAGTAAGTGCATCAGGCCAACCTTGACCAGGACCACTTTCCACCTGGAAAATGATGTCCTCACTGCGGGGGAACATGTAGATCAAGAATAGGGCTCCACAGCCACCTGCTAACTCACTGCCAAGACACTACACTTGGAGGACCATAATCCTCGGCTACGAGGGATCGCCTAAGTAAGTAGGCAAATAAGAATCCCCTGTGCCCCACTAATGAGGCCAATAAGTCCATACATTAAAAGATATGTCTGCTCACCATCCTGCCAACAATAATCATCTTGGGCCCCAGCTGTTTGTTGACAGCAAAGATGTGGATGAGACGAAGGGTGAAGACCATGAAATCCAGGCATAGGATGGTGCGTCCAGATTCATAAGACTGAGGGAGCAGCCTGTGAAATCGTATCATACAGAAGGACAGCAGAAATAATGTCATTCATTCTATATACTTTACTACAATATTTACTTTTTATGTGATGCCATTAATCTCTAACATTATATCATGTTCAAGGTGCTTTATAATTAAAGGTATAATTTTAATTATGTTTCAGTGCTACAAGAAGCCTTGCACCCTTTACTTTAACCATAAGTCGCTGGCATAAAAGCAACAGAGTTCTCCTTCCCACCTGCACACCAGTCCTATCATGAAGAGCAGGAGGGCTGTGATGTCCAGCTGGTTCCACGTGTCCTGGAAGTAAAGGCGTATTCGCTGCCGTATCGGGTGGGGACCCACAAAGCAGCCCTGTCGCAGCTCCTCACAGACCAGCGTGAAGACCCAGACGTACAAGAAGATCTCTGTGCCGGATGGGCCTTTGGGAGGTGGGGGGTCAAAATCCAACAGCAAGACGTAGGAGAAGAGGAAGAGGAAGAGCAGGTACATCACCACGTTGCCCAGGAAGGCTGTCACGGGAGCCACCCAGAACTGACGCCAGCGACGCAACCAGAACTGGCGAGTGGAAAGTTGGGAAGGTGGAGAGAATGGAGAAGGAAGCTCCATATTGCTGGGAAAGTGAGGAGGGGTGAAAAAGGGATCAGTGAGTGAGGGTCCAACCCAATAAAAGGTCTCTTCAGTTGATTCGCCTCTCTAAATTTGAATCAATTAATTCATGCAATAAATTGCCCACATATGGGTAAATATCATGACTAATTAAAGAACATATACATAATCTCTCTTGTAGGTAAAAGAGGTCTACAGAGCTGAACTCCATAGGACACTACCCACCCACACCTTTGGATAACAAGTCAGAGTTTGGGATCGTGATTCCCTATGGGCAGTGGCTACACTTGCTGGGTATTCTGTGTATTGTGGCAAAAAAGAAAACTTACCATATATACTTGAGTATAAGCTGACTTTTTCAGCCCCTTTTTAGGCTGAAAAAGCCTCCCTCAGCTTATACTTGAGTCAAGGTTATTTATTATTTTAATCTGTTATTATTATTATTATTATTATTATTATTATTATTATTACATTTATTATTTTACTCTTTTTTATTATTACATTTATTATTGTTATTGTTATTATTACATTTCCATTATTTTATTCTGGTATTATTATTTTTATTACATGTATTATTTTACTATCTTTATTATTATTGGAAGAATATGTAAGCACATTTACATTGAAAAGGTTAGAATAATGATTTAATCAGAGTTGGACAATCTTATCTTAAATTACAGTTTTATGTAAATATTCAAAAACATTTAACCTACTGATGCCTCAATTAATGTAATTTTATTGGTATCTATTTTTATTTTGAAATTTACCAGTAGCTGCTGCATTTCCACCCTTGGCTTATACTCAAGTCAATACGTTTTCCCAGTTTTTTGTGGGAAAATTAGGTGCCTCGGCTTATATTCTGGCCGGTTTTATAAGCTTTATTTCTGATGAAACATCTTCTCATCCATCAGGACAAAAAGCTGTAAGATCAGATTCATCAAGCCACAAAGAATAACTCTTTGGGAGTAATTTGCAGTGATTCTTTTTCCTGGTTAATTTTATAGGTCAGGTTCCAGCAGCAGTTTTGACTCTTGAGTTCCTCTCTCTCCGAAATGGAGGAGCAGCTATATTTTAAAAATCTTAAATGGTTTTTAAAATAGAACAATGATTTAACTGTGTTTTAATGTTTGTATTGATAGCATTTTAGTCCCACTGTGTTTTAAATAGTTGTAAGCTACCTTAAATTCCACAATGTAAAAACACACGATATAAATTAAATAACTACATCAACTTAATGAAAGACTGAAATAAATAATACTATGTAACAAAATTTGAAAAATTGTCTGTTCCTGGTTTGGAAGTGTTCCTTTTTAATTGTGTGGTACTAACTTTGAAATTTTGTTTTTATAGCTGTGTCAAACTATGCTGAATTGGTTGAGATGAGATATTTATTCATTGAACAACTATCGCAAAATGTGCTTCAGGATATTCCACAAAAACAAAGTTTTTGCAGCTTAATAAACTTCTCCCATGTTTTTGTGACAGAACCAATGAGGAAATGACATTTATAACCCAGGAACAAAAATTGTGTTACATAGTGCAATTGATAGTATTGTTATATGTGTTGTCAAAGGCTTTCATGGCTGGATTCACTGGTTTGCTGTGAGTTTTCCCACATCTATGGCAGGCATTCTCAGAGGTTGTGAGGTTTGTTGGAAACTAGGCAAGTGAGGTTTATATATCTGTGGAATGTCCAGGGTGGGAGAAAGAACTCTTCTCTGCTTTAGGCAAGTGGTAATGTTGCAATTGGCCACCTTGATTAGCATTGAATGGCCTAGCAGCTTCAAAGACTGGCTGATTCCTGCCCGAGGGGGATCCTTTGTTGTGAGGTGTTAGCTGGTCCTAATTATTTCATGTCAGGGATTCCCTGTTTTTTGAGTGTTTCTCTTTATTTACTGTCCTGATTTTAGAGAAAGGAGAAAAACATGAAAATAAAGAAAATCTGACTACCAGTATTTTTTTAAAAAACCTCTAAAATCGTCAGGAGAGAATGTTTCTGGAATATGGCCATACAGCCCGGAAAAATCACAGCAACCCAGTATTGTTATACTTTCCAGTGTTTTATCCTACTTCCTACAAGCCCACTGTGATCATAATCCTAAAATTTATGGCCCTTTCTGCTTCTCTCCTTCCAACCCACCTTCCCCAAAGTATGACTATTTTCCCCTACTCGGAATACATGTCCCTGATGGTACTTTTCACATCTGTGTCAAGGCTGTCCAGTTCAAGTGGGCCCGAGGGATCCAGACGAAGGTCGTCATCCATGTTCCTGTCAAAACATAAAGTCACACTCATGTTTTCAGCAAACAGGTTTAAGGCTACTACATTTCTTCTTCTCACTTCCATTCCCTTCCATTCTCACTTTGTGATCGTTAAAGGAAGACACTTCCAGCCCAAGACTAAAGAACATTCCCCACAATCTGGAGATCTTCAAAAATACTGAGTTGTAGCTGGCAATGTCATTACCCGGTGTAGCTGAAGCATAGAGTGGGAGCTGTAGCACAATATATCAAAATGGTCCTGGATTTAGGAAGTCTTTGGATTGAGTTTTCAAAGGGTTGATGATTTGAGTGTGGAGCCCATCTCTCCCTTTGTGTTCCAGCAACGCAACACAGGTAGCCAGGTAATCCTGGTTAGTCCTGGTTTGGCACCAGTGATGACATATTGGTTTATATTAGACAGAACCCTGGAGACCAGGGTTCAAAACAATGCTTGTTCATAGAAACCCAATGGATGTCCTTGGGCAAGTCAAACACAACCTTTGAGGAACTCTTGGCTAGAAAGCCCTGTGAAAGGTTTGTCTCAAGGTTGTCATAACTCAGAAATGACTCCAAAGCACACAGCAGTAAGGCTAATGGCCAGAAATAAATAGGCAAGCCCCAAACTCCTGTCTCCTAATATAGTGCCCAGTACTGATGAAGCAATTATGCCAGTGGCACTCACCTGAATGTGATGAGGTTTGTAAAAATGAGAGGAGGGCAAAAGAAAGTCAAGAGGAGCTGCCAGACAGAAGTGCTTCTCTCCATCTCTCCCCACCAGTTCTGGGTAAGCAGGGACTGCAGACAGAATAGAGGAAACAACCACTGGGTGAGCTTCTCCACTCTTCCCAATTATTTACATTCATTTTAACACCTAAAATGCTTGAAACTACTGTTCCCACTTCGGGATGATCTTGAGTATGCATACAAAAAGATTTTGGTTGGCCTAATAAAGGTAATTGTCTCAGAGGGCCAGAGGTTTAGCACAGCTGGTAAATCACCAGCAAATATAAGATCTATCAACTGAAAAGTTGCAAGTTCGAAGCCTCGGGTCAGAGTGAGCACTTGACTGTCAACCCTGCTCACTGTTTACCTAAGCAGTCAAAAACAGCTTTAGCTGTAATTAGAGAAATTAGATACCACTAAAAGCGAGAGAGGTGTTTTACGACGCTATCAAGAAAGAAGATCAGAAAATGCTGGATGACCAAAAGGAAGGAGGAAGTCCTGATAACTCTTCATCATAGAGGATGGAGCGACAGCAGCCCCTGTGGCTGGACTTGAGTCCAACCTTCCACAGCACCAAAACAGCTGGACACTGAGCCAAAACAACACACTTCCTTCTGTTATGTCTGTCTGTGTATTGCCTATACAAAGTGACATTGAATGTTTGCCGTATATGTGTACTGTGATCTGCCCTGAGCCCTTTGGTGTGAGAAGGGCGGAATATAAATAAAGTGTTATATTATTATTATTATTATTATTATTAATATTACCTGAACACCATCATGAGCAAAAAAGAGACGGGCATCAGCCTCATGAGCCAACTGGAGGACAGTGGCTCCACCCCAAAGATGGGAACGGCGGACCAGTAGTTTGTAGGCCCGTGGCTCACCATTGCGGTAACATTCACCAAATACTCCTGGGGTTGAAGGGCAAGGGAAGAACAGAGAGCAGAGACATTTTTAATTGTACTGTCAATAATCTTACAGAACCTCTTGTTATACTACAGTTGACATGCTTATTGACAGGTTGTTGCCAATAAGGGAATTTTACTGTCGATACAGTACTCTTAATGAGCAAAATGCTTTCCGACATTCCCATGATCACTTTTTAATTGATATTTATACGTACTCATGTCACAGAGAAGTGAAAAGTAGAAGGCAGAGAGAAAACAATCTAAAACTAACCAGCAAGTCTATTTGGAGGGCTGCATACTGTCCCAATTTGGCCAGGACTATCTTAATTCTGTTGCTCCACTTTTTAAGCTGCTTTAAAAATGTCTGTTTTTGTCTCTTCCTCCCAATTTCACCCTTTCTCTTCAGCTTATTCAGCCTTATTTTTATCGTGTCAGAAGTGACTTGAGAAACCACAAGTCGCTTCTTCTGTGAAATAATTGGCCGTCTGCAGAGACATTGCCCAGGGGACCCTGTGGGAGGCTCCTCTCATGCCCACATGGGAAGCTGGAGCTGACAGGTGGGAGCTCACCCCATCTCACGGATTTGAACCATCGACCTTCATGTCAGCAGTTCAGCCAGAACAAGGGTTTAACTCATTGCGCCACCCAGGCATGTAGCCGGGGGGGGGGGGGGCTTGGGGGGCTTCAGCCCCCCCCCAAATTCTCATGGTGGTCCGCGAGAAGGCCTTAATGGTACATTATTTAAACTGTTATGTTTATTCATATCATGATCTGATCACCATGCTCAATATATCCCATATGCATGGGGGTATTGGGGTAACGATACAAAAGGTTTGCTAGGGTAGACCCTCTTTCACTCAGACTCAGCCCCCCCCCCCCGAAACAAAATCCTGGCTACGGGCCTGGCCACAGCTTCTATTCAACCATTGAAAATTTAGTTCAAAATACAAAAAGAGTTTGAGGTCAACTGAATTGATAAGGGAGAAGTGTAGGCAGCAGAATTTGCTTTTCCCATTAAGCTCAGGGCCCTTCCACACAGCCTATATCCCAGAATATCAAGGCAGAAAATCCCACGATATCTGCTTTGAACTGGTCCACACTCAGATAATGTGGGATTTTCTGCCTCGATATTCTGGGATACAGGGCTGTGTGGAAGGGACCTCAGCAAACCACTACAGTGTCTAATACAATTCCCAGAAATTCCAGCTAGATTACCAGCTGTTTGGATTTCTGGGAGTTGAAGGCCAAAACATCCGGGGACCCACAGGTTGAGAACCACTGGTCTAATATCTTCCTGTTCTACCTTATTCATAGTTTTACCGTCTTTATCACATTCTAAGTTTACTTGGCCAAATGAGTCCCAGTTTTCAAGTGTTAAATGTTGGAGGAAACAGGGCAAGATGTTGAGAAATTCAGATCCAGACTGCTGGCTTTAGAGCAGTGGTTCCCAACCTGTAGTCTGTGGACCACCAGTGGTCTGAAAGAACTAAAATATGGTCCACGATCTTACCATAACTACACCATTGCAAGAGGACTGGTCTCGCAAAACCCTATTAAAGTGCCGAGGCTTATTAAATATGGTTTTCTGTGGATGAGCAGATGGCAACTACTGGATGGCATATGTTCTGTATCAGAAACTAGAGCGGATGTGGTCTATCCAATGCAATTTTCTAAATCAGTACCCCCAAATAACCAAACTGAATCTAAAGTTGACCAAAAACTGATTCGTAATCCTTTTGGTACTAATATTAAAGAGTGGTCTCTGGTCAAAAAAGGTTGAGAACCACTGCTTTAGAGTAACGGAGACAATGAATCTCTTGTTTCCTTCCCAATAATTTCTCTCTCTCTTTTTCTTTTATCATCTTCCCGTCTCACACACCTATAGCCAGATTTTCAAAGCGCATTGCCAAGTCCTTCATGGCTGCCTCTTCCTCAGCCTCTGTCTCCAGGTGAGAAAGCTCCCGAAGCATGCGAGCAGCCACCAATGCCCCAGCCACTGCATCAGGTGCCTGTGATGGAAGGAAATGAGAAAACATCTCTGGAGGTAGAAAACAAGCAAGGAGCCCTTAAAAAAAACCTCCACAACCAGGTCAAGCCAGGAGTGGGTATAGACCCGTCACTAAATCTTATCATCTTGAACAACAAATCATCAAGAGTAGGCAATGTGTCCACTGGAAGCTGACCACATTCCTAAAGCTGTGTTCTCTCTAGAAATCTCTAGGTTCTCAAGCAAGGCTGAAGGAAGTTGACTACAGAGTCACCAGGAAGACACTAGAGAATTCTGGAGAGAACATTTTTTTTATCAAATCCATGAATAATCAAATCAACAAAAGTCAAAACCATAACTGTGTTGGGATGACTATAGTTCTTTTTTTTAACTGTAAGTTTCTTTAGACATGGATCTCACTTTTTGTTTGTTGTCCTATTGGACACTTTGCACCTCTCTCTCTCTCTCTCTCTCTCTCTTTATCATCATCATCATCATCATCATCATACACACCATTTCCCAGAAATACATTGCCATCTCTCTCCGATTGAGCAGCACAGCCCATATAAAGAGATCGGTCCAAGGATTTGGCGAAAGTTCATTGAGGTATGTAGGATCTCCGTTGGGTATTGCTCCTTTGATCTTGGAACAGAAAAGGGGAAAAGGGCAGCTATTAAGAATCAGAAAATAATTTTAGCTCAGGTATCAAATGCAATCCAAAATGTATAACTTAAGATAACATGCAGCTTAACTACATCTCAGGACCCAAGGTGTTGCAACAGTCCAATGTTTGCTGTGACCACGGTCATGTAATGCTCCAAATGAATTACGGTATGCCAATTAATAGAGTTAAATAAAATATACACAGGTTGCCTAAAAGAGCATTCAGAATCTAATGTTCAATATTTCACAATTTTCTTTTTGGATCACAACTCCCAGAATTCCAACATAGTCCCTAATCATGCTTCACAAAGTTTTCTGGGATATGTTCTCCAAAAACCTAAGTTTACCAATCTCTGGATTTTTTCTGAAAGAGAAAGAGACATAAATAAATGCTAAAGAAACTCTCAAAACTCTCTTCAGATAATCGCTGTCTCCAGAGTCACTTTCCCACTTTCCATGGTGTTCCATCAGACCTGAGTACCCCACAACTTACCCCTGCCCCTTTGTGACCATCAGGATGGAGTCCAGCATAAAAGGGACCACAGACGATCTCCCAGCAGCTCATGCAGGATGTGGGCCACTTGGGGCAAGTGGAAATCAGGCAGAGATCGTTCCACTAGCAGGTATTCAGGGGGTGAGGAGGACTCAGAGACTGTCCCATGGCGTCGCTCCAGAAGCTGGTGCAGCAAAGAGGCCTCAGGAACCCCCGCATACAGGTACTCCAGCTGTTTCCATGTCAGGAACTGTCCAACATCCAAGCCATTCTCCACAAACAAGCGAACTAAGGCAGGGCGGTCTCCTAGTAAGGCATCGCGCATCGGATCCTCCAGCAGGCTGGGCTGTGACAAATCACAGAATATGAATGATGGACAAATGGTGAGGAGTGAGGAATGAAGAAGGAATGGTTTTACAGTAAGCCCTGAGCATTTGCTGGGGTTTGGTTCCAGGATCTCCCTCCATGTGTACCAAAATCTGTGGATGCTCAAGTTCCATTTTGTACAATGGCAGAGAACAATGGCCCCCTTTTATAAAATGGAAGGATCAAGGCTTACTTTTTGGATACCTGCATATCTATCTATCTATCTATCTATCTATCTATCTATCTATCTATCTATCTATCTTCAAACTGTGTATTGTCTAATTTGTGGATGCAGAACTCATGGATGCAGAAGGCCAAGCGTACAATTCACGAAAATAAGTGATGAAAGTCGCTGGCATTGCCATTGTTAGAGTTTGGAAACATTACTTTTGGGGAGAATTGATAATTTAATTCTTCAGTGGCCATGCTGATTTGGCATTTTGGTAACAGTAGTCTTCACAAGTCATGTTCCCAAATTTTGGGTCGAAGTGCTATTCCGAAAGTCAAGAGTGCAGTCATCATGCTTTTTGGAAAGGGATTTGGGCTGAGCTATTGTACTCCCCAAACAAAGGATTTCCCCAACACTTACACTGTCCTGACTCTCCATCTTTTAATCAATTTCATACACTGCTCTTCATGTTCGTTCCTAGCTAATCCCACTCTACATCATATTAATCTCCTTTTAAAGTGCATTTAAATAGTGAAGTCTATTTCAAGTCTCTCTTGGCCCATCTTTCTCACAAGACTCACTCTGAAAAAGAAGGGCAACAACACTTAGAACTCAAGAGTTAAGAAGGTCATTAGAGAGGACAGTAAAGGGGTGAGGGGGAGAGAGTATTTATTTCTTCCTGTCCCTTCCCCTGTAGACTCACATCCCAGAGAATGTCACCACGGAATAGCTCAGTGCTGGCAATGTCCACGCGGTTCCAGGCTACAGCCAAACGCAGCTCATCCAAGTAGGAGGTGGCCTCACTTGAGCGCCTACAAGCTGTCATGAAGAAAGAAAAGGGAGAGTGACACCATTGGCCTTGGCTTGCCCCAGTCCCTGGTATGGACAGACCCAAGGTGGGGTGAGGGGAAAAAGGACATCACGTCTTCCCACATCTTCCCACTCATGGACATTTTCATTCAGAACAGAAACAGGATGGCGCCACTGAGCACATGGTTAGCCCAGGAGCGAGAAACATGAAGCCAGGTTCCAACTAAAGGTAGATGTGCCTGGATACCTACCTTTCACCAAGGCTTTGAGTAGAATGGTCTCAAACTCCTCTAAACCTTCTTGATCTGAATAAACAGTCACCAATTCCCTCAGAGCCCCAATACGCTCCACCTGGTAATGTAAAGAATGCAGAGATCATTAGAAATTGCTTAAAGGGGTGTGGGGATGAGACTTTTCTCCCCATAGACTAAGAAATTCTCACATGCCCACTTAATAACTGAGGGAGGACTGGTGAGATATCCATAGCTATGGAAGGAAAGTTTCAGATGTTCAAATGGAATGGGAAGAAATCTGAATTAATTCCACGAATTTCTGAGACAGCAAAATAAGAAATGCACGGCATAGGCAGTGGCAGAGACAAAAAGGGGTTGGAGATCTCACCTCCTCTGCCAAATGTTCCAGTTCATTGTCAGGAAACTTTCCCTGCATCTTCTTCATTGCCAGTGTCTTCAGGGACTCTCCAGGCTGTGTCTCTTCCAGTAACTCAGCTAAGCAGTCAGCTGCTCCTCCAGTTCCTGCCAGCAGCAGGCAGGGGATAGAGGCATGCACAGCCTCAGACACACGCTGGGGAAGAGAACAAGACAGTTGCTTGGGTTAGGGGTACAGGGACCTTGCAAAAGTGAAGAAAAAAATGCTTAACTGAAAGAACACCTCTCTAGAATCCTAAGGTCCTCCAGCATGACTCTGATGGTTAACTTCCTCTAGTGATGCAGATCATATCTAGAATCAATAGATTTCTAGAGAGAACACTTCTTTAGGGGTCTTTAAGTCCTCCAGTGTGATTTTATGTTCGGTTCACAGGGGGAGTTGACAATAAAGTCCATCAGAAGTTGACCAGAGAGTTGTCCTGGAGGACGTAGAGATCCCTAGAGAGAACATATTAATCAAATCTGCAGAAGTAAAACCTGCTAATGTGGAGAGCCAACTGTAGTTGGCATGACAAAATGAGCCACTGCCAAACTGTCTCTTTCTGAGGTCTCTACTTCACATTTGGGTCCCTAGTCATTCTCCAAACTGCACTCAGCAACAGGTCCTTCTCAACAGGCCATACTTTCCATGGTTGTCCACTGTGACTGGCCAAAAACATTGTACTGTACCAGAATAAGAAGTAGGAATCAATCCTCCCTCCTGGAAGCACCTAAATGAAAATGCAGAGCACCCATATGTCAGGTTGCCCCATACGTGCTTCTTTCTGATTCTGGCAGTAAAAAAGGAATACTATTCCTACTACATCAACTGACACATTACTGCCATTTCTTGACACTCCAAGCCAATTCTCTGCTTTACAATAGGCTTTGCCCTGTTGCCTGCATACATGGACATACTCTCCCTCTATTTCTAGAAGTCCTTCTTTGTGTTCACACATCCTGCTATCTGTATCTATTCACACCCACAGTTCTGTATTTGTGCCCCAACCTCTTCCAACTGCCTTCACAGAATCTCCTACTCATTACCTTGAACATAGATGAATCTCCACTGATAAGCATCACCAAGACAGGAATCTCAATACTCCCACAACCTGTCGGAGTTAAGATGAGGGAATGAAGTGAAGAAGCACAGGTACCACAAGTCCAATTGGAGAAGACTTAAACTAGTTCACAACTAAGAAAGCAGGACAGGCGATCATAATAAAGCAGTAGTTCCCAACCCTTTTTTGACTAGGGACCACTTTGACCAGGGACCACATGACCAGGGACCACTCTCCAACATTAGTACAAATGTTACGAATCAGTTTTTGGTCAACTTTTAAAAAATGTTGGATATACAACATCAGCACTAATTTCAGATACAGAACATATGCCGTGCAGTAGTTGCCATCTGCTCGCCCACAGAAAGCCATATTTAATAAGCTTCACCACTATAAGAGGGTTTTGAGAGACCGGTCTCTCTCATTGCAACGGTGTAGTAACAGTGAGGCCACGGACTATATTTTGGTTCTTATGGACCACTGGTTGGGAACCACTGTAATAAAGAGTGGAGTTAGGGATAGGAAACAGTGAACTGCTGAAAAAGATAAATAAATGGGTCCTAGATCAAATCAAGTCTGAACTCTCCTTGGATGCCAAGATGACTAAGATGAGACTGTTGTACTTTTGCCATATCATGAGAAGACAACTCAACAAAAAAAAATTGAATAATGCTTGGTAAGGTAGTAGGAAAGAGGAATACTACATTCCAATGGATGACTCAAACAATGAAGCCACAGCTCTGAGTTTGAAAGACCTGATTATCTCAACTGTGGATGAGAGGGTGACTTGGAGGACTTTTATTCACAGGGTTGCCATAAATTGAAATCAACAACAGTTAACAACAAAACAAGAATCATAACAGTGTCTAGGGCTTTTCATGGGCAATGACGCTGTGTGGATGTGGTCCACATTAAAAGAAAATAAAGTACAGTCAGCCTTCCACATTGATGGATTCTGCATCCATGGAGTCTATCATACATGATATGAAAAGGTTTTTTTTAAATTCCAAAAACAAATCTTGGTTTGTCCATTTTATATAAGGGACAACATTTGACTATGTCACTGTATTTAATGGCACTTGAGCCTCCACATCTTTTGGTGTCCACAAGGGGTCTGAGAACCAAACCATAGTGAATCCCAATAGAACACAGTACTTTATTTAGCTAGTTTGGGAATTATACTAAATGAGCAAGAAACATGAACTGCAATTACATACTTATACAGAATAGTTTTAGACATGTTGCAATACATCCATGGAGCTAAATGGGACTTAAATTAGTTGTGAAAATCTATAAATGAAGCAGTGTAGCTGTTCAATAAAATCCCTATCTGGATACAACTCACAGAATGGTTTCTGGGAGGCAAGTTAGAGTAACTGTGGTAAGCAAAGGAGGGCAAAATCACAGTATACAAAAAAGTAAATTGTCTCACCACCAGCTCCTACTTTCTGCTGGGCAATGTAGCGCTCCAGGCGGGCACGGAAGGAGGCCTCGCCGCCTGCCCTGCCTTCTGTCCCATTGTCCACCAAGAAGAAAGCGGAATGGTTGGCATCCAGAGGACAGAAGGGACTCTTCGGGACAGTCCGTTGATAACGTGCTGGGAACAAACCCTTCAAAATGAAAAAAGAAGGAGTGAATACAGGAAAGGCTAGAAAGTTCTCTCACATCCAGCTCAAATTTCAGCAGTCTTTGCTTTCACTGCTTCATCCCTTCAGGTTGATTCTACTTTATCCAAAATGTTTGGGACTAGAAATCTTTTGGATTTCTGATTTTTAAATATATATATATTGGAATATTAGTATTTGCACATGCTCTCCTCTGATGCAAAGACTTTTATTGTATTACACAAAAACACTTTGACTAGTTTTCATGGTTGAAAAGTGTCAGGTTAACACTGGATTCCTATGCCGATTGCCATAAATGTCCCAAATGTTCATTCTGCATCATGGTTTTGCTAATGCCACCCATCAGTTCTTGTCCTCTTATGCCAATCCCGAGACAAGAAGATGTACCAAACGGTGCACCTGCTGCCATACCAATAGCAATGCCCATCATGAAGCCCATTTTCACTCTAAA